CAATCAGAGAACTGAATGGGTGCGGGCGGAGGAGTGAGCTGCTGGTGAAGGCTTTATTGAGGAGGTGGGACAAGAGGGCAGGGGGGCTGCCCCAGGGTGAGCAGAGTGTAGAAGTGTGGTGGGAGGGCAGCAGGGGCAGTGTGGAGACTCCTCCGAGAGAGGCAGAGGACAAGTACTGGGGAAGATGTGGAGGGCACTGAAAGCCGACCGGAGGCCTGGGGATTAGATACGAAACACAGAAAATCATCATTAGTGCATGTGTGTATGGGAGAGAGAGAGGAGGACAGTGGTCCCATTTTGACACCAGAGTTTGCAAACTAGTTTGGGGACTGCAGACAAACTGGGAAAAGGGGAAGCAGGGAGGTCGGGGGGACCGCAAGGACCGGGGTCTTCCTTGGCAGGGATGAGGGCCCTCCTGGCTCAGGTCGCAGGGATTACAGGACTCTGTGAGGGAAGAGACACAGGCAGGGGTCTGTCGTCTGGCAAATGAAGCACAGGGGGGAGCTCCCATGTTTGCAGGCCCAAGGCTCTGAAGAAAGGGGGACCCTCGGGGGTGCGCTGCAGTGGCATTTTGAAAGAAATTCATTGATGCGATGTCTCAGGGAATGTGGTCTCCGTGCGCAGTAATGGACACTGAGCAAGAGCTTGACAAATATTTAATGACTAAATGCACATATGGGCTTGGGAGCCCTAATCAGACACTCTGAAGGAAACATTCTCTGGACAGCTGGCACACACACCAAGGAATTGAGGATAATGGAGCCCCACCCGACACCCCCCCATCCAGCACCCACTGGAGAAGCAAGAAAAATTAGTAAAGGTGACAGAGAAGGAACAGAGCAGGAAAACAAGAAAATGCTTTCTTGGGCTTAGGGTTTGGAGAGATTTGGTGGCATCATCAAACGCCACAGAAATCCCTTGGTGGTCACAGGCAGATTTCTGCAGAGCACAGGACACAGAGCGTAACAGTATTTATCCCCAGGGCAGAGAGGACATGAGGGCATCTGCCAGGCAACAGTGTCCTTGGACACCGCGCTCCTGCCCTGCACCTGCTTTCTGTGGCTTTCCCACACATTAACAAGTGTTCCTACAGAACTCAGAGCAGCTCCACCCTGGTGGGTGCCAGGCAAGTAAGCTCACAGCTCTGACCCAACCTATAAGAACGAGACCACCTGAGTGTTGGACCTAAGTTCCCAGGGGACTGGGAATGTGCTGGATTCTAGGAAACAAGAGAAGGTTTAGATATCCTTTGAAAGAACTTCAGGGTACTTGGCCTTCCTCTTGATTTGCATTGATTTAAGGGTCATGTCTCAATCAGCATTTAAGCTGAAACAGTCACCATGTGCTGCCATTAAGCAAATTAGAAACGGTTAAACCGGGAGGCACAGACGATTTGGATGGACTAGTAAGCTTACTCCGGCACACGCTGTGTGGCTTCTATGAACAATGTATCAGATACCTTGCTGTGTGCCTTGAGCCCCGCTGCCCTTGAGCAGTGGCCAGGGTTCGACCCAGGGGGCGCCACATGCAGGATAAGGAGAAAGTAGGTCTGACTCAGGCCAGGGTCAAGGATGAATAGAAGCCCATGGCTGTTGACTTCCTAGGTTTGCTGAGAGAATATCGGTCGCTGGCTTCTCCACGCAGCCAACAGATGTCCACTTCCATTTACCTGAGTCCCAGGAAGACCGTGGCTACGCCACCTTGCAGGAGGATGCATGACACTCATCTCCAAAGTCTGGCACGTCATGTTTATAAGCTACTCAGCCGGGTTCCAGGTAGACACCAGAAGGCAGCTTGCGGCTCCTCTGGAAAGATCGATGGGAGTCCCATGAAGGCACACCAGCCTGTGTGGAAGGCTTCCAGGTGTTCAGCCATGTGACATGTGTGGCATCATCACTGAGCTGCAGGCCTCTGTACCTCACTGATCACTCACAAACTTTGCAGTTTCCCCAAGGCTGTTTCTTTGCTGGGCCATCGCCATGGGCCGTGGGGTCTTGCTGGGAATTTTCCAACAGCCTGATTGCAGGCTTCTGTATGTGATACAAGAGAGCTCAGCGTTCTGGGCTGGCACCCCGTTTCCCCACAGCACAGGCCACGGTGGAGACCGTGGCGGTGTTCTGGCTCCCTCAAAGGCTGTCCCTGTCGTGTCAGGAGGAGCAGGCCATGGTGGAAGCAGTGTGACTACATGGTGCATGGAGCTGTGCCCATCCCTGGGCTGCAGTTGTGCTGAGATACTACTGAAAATCCACATTGAGAGAGGGCTTGCTTGGCAATTATAAACATCACTCAGGTTTAAATGAGAGTCTGGGGGCGCCTGGGTGGCTCAGTCGTTAAGCATCTGCCTTCGGCTCAGGTCATGATCCCAGGGGGTCCTGGGATCAAGCCCCACATCGGGCTCCCTGCTCGGCGGGAAGCCTGCTTCTCCCTCTCCCACTCCCCCTACTTGTGTTCCCTCTCTTGCTGTGTCTCTGTCAAATAAATAAATAAAATCTTTAAAAAAAAATGAGAGTCTGTTTCTGATATTGGTGGGAATGCCAGTTGGGTGGCTGTTCAATAAAAACCACAGGCTGGCTCTATGTGATTCTTTGAAGGCCCTTGGTACTATTCGAAGGTCCACATGCCCCTGGGTTTGGAAGAGAAATCAGAAAACACAAAGAGTGGGCATGGGTAGGGCTTGCTGGGTCAAGGCCCAGCATCTGGAATAAAGCATTGCTACAGATTAGCCACCATATGACCAAGGAAATGTGCCTACGATGGTCTGGTGACCTCAGAACTTGAGTCAGACTGAGAGAAGTGAAAAGAGCTTGCACAATAGTAACCCCATGCCCTAGAAAATGCATTGAGTGGAAAAGAAAATTCACACCCTATCTATCTGTGGACATTTCTGGAGAAGACCACTTTCCCATCCCCCTCCCTCTCAGCCTCTTTATTTACAGTGCTTTGGACAGTCAAGGATCTTGAAAATTCCTGAAACAAATAATCTGATTATTTGATGTTGGAAATTTTTTTCAAGGGCTCTACACCAGGACAAAATGACTAAGTAAGCACCTGCCATTTTGGAAGGACTTGTTAAATTCATCTAGGAATGTTACAGGTGTCGGCAGAACCTACCTAAGGAACCGTGTCCTGCCAAGCTGTGCACCGGGAGAGCCACTGTGGACTTGCGGGGAGTGTGAGAGGGATTTCAGAGTAACTGCCCCAGGAGAGGCAGCTATTATCTTTCAAGAACATTAGGTGCATTTTATCACAAGAACTGAAATTTCAGTCTCATCTTTAACTCTCCCATGCCCTCCAATGTCAGGAGTGGCTTCCTATTATCAGTCTTACGTTGCTGCAATTTATTTGTTGAACTATTAGCTATGCCACTGGGCAGCACTTATTTTCTTGAACTAAAGGAACATTTGTGATGATCCATCTTCCCTGTCAATTAGCCCCTGGAAAAATCCTGGGTCAATAACAGCTAATTCCCTGTTAGGAAACCTGAAAGTCGGTAATCCGCCAAGAGAACTGGCACCACGAATCAGAAACACGTAGCAAATTCAGAAGACTAATAATGCCCATTGTTGACTAGCTTACATTGTGTACGGGATAATACCGGCAGAAAAGAGAAAAGAGTAAATTGAATGAAAGATGTTTAAGAATTCTCTTCTCTGAAGAGTGGCCCAGCGAATTGACTTTTCTCTTCCAGGTGATCTATTTGATATACCTACAGCATCAACATGTCAGCAAGGAAAGCGACCCAAAAAATGAGCTGGTGGGAGAGCAAAGTGCTGATTATGAGGTCGTCAAATTTTCAGGGATACACAGTTGGTCAACGGCCAGCACCTGCCAGGGGCCTCGGTCCACAGCTGTTATTTGTGCTGCAGTCATTGCTGGGTGAGCAGCAATGACTGGGAGGAAGGGCTTCGGGGAAGGGAGGTGGGGTCTGGAGCACAACCCAGAGGAACAAGCATATTTCCGCACAAATAACAACTCCAACGTACACTGTTCCAAGGAGTGCCTCCGACTGAACCGAGGTTTCTGAAACAAATGACTCCACAGAAGGAATTAGGTCATTGCTGGAGGTTTCCAGAGGTTTATTTGGAATGACACAGCACTGAAAACATAACTCTTACAGATGATTTGTGCATACAGCATACATCGCCTATCTTATTTTAGGACAATCTGGGAAGATGAGTTGCATAAAGAGTTGGAAATTTATAGGAGCTTTTTTTTTTATAGTGTTCTTTGGGGGTGGACTTTGATGCCCCATCAACCAGCCAATCTTTGAAAGGCAGAAGGTAACACTATAGAGCTGCTCATCCCGACTAGCTTACCTCCAGCCTCAGCAGCTGGACCCTAGATAACGAGGCTCTGCTTTTCCAAAGGGACAAGGATCCTTGACATGCTATCTGTCATCACATCCTGACAAATGCACATTACCCAACGCAGATACTGTCGACTGTTTTGGCAATGGGATGGTTGGTTTTGCCCCGAGGCAAAACTGCCACTGTAATGCCAGACAGAGCAAGAGCAATGCATGTATCAATGACACTCGAGAGGCAAAGAACTACAATGGAACGAAAGGAAGCAACTATGCGTATGTAGCTTTGTGCATACACATAGATCCCGGAGTGATGGGAACTAGCATGTGGAACTGCGTGGCCATATACACAGAGAGAGAGGTGTTGGAAAAGAACCTTTTGTGTAGCAGTTGAGTTTGAAACACAGCTTGAAAGGGAGAGAGATCACGTGCTCACACCTGTGCAGGGGAAGGAGATAATTTCGTACTAAAGGATAATTCATCGCGTCTTCCGCAGGGCAGGCACTCAGGAACCATACACTTGGTGCTCAGAAATGAAGGTTCTGGTCTGGAGAAAGCTACTTTGGAAACGGTGGGAGGGGATCAAGTACAAGAGTCTCCACAGCTTGGACAAAGCACAAAGAAACCTGTTATGGATAACGTGGGAACCAGTGAAGACTTTATCTGTAATTTACTTGTTTTTCTCTTACTTTTTTTTTTTGCACACATGCTCCATTGATATATCTTTCCAAGCTTTCTCTGGCACCAGCCTGTAAATCATTAAGAGTGTAATAGCAAAAGTGAACTCTTCGGGTTTTCACGGAGGTGTAAAAACCCAGTAACAAGGCTCTTTCTACAATACTCTTGGCCCTAATCCAGGCGCCGGGTGAAGTTCTCTGGAAAGAGGCCTTTGTAGGTGGCAAGGTCTCTGTACTGAAGCCAGTCTGATTCCTTCACTCCTACCAGCCAACCTGCATCCTGCAAGACAAAGACAGGGCATTCAAGGTCCAAGGGACTACTGGAAAAATCTGCAAATAAGTTGTTAGGTAAAACAAAAAATAACAGTAAACATTTGAAATGATTTATTTTCTGGATCTGGGAAAGCTAACTGAACATTAAAACAGATAGTATAATTTTGTCTAAAGTACAGCTCGTAGAGGTTAACTGGATTATGAAATGAGTTCTTAAGGAAGAGAAAAGGATTAGAATGCTAGCCAGGGCAAAGAGAGGACACCACGTGAAAACATGTCATGCACAGGAACGCTCCCTATTCTGTGCGTCACAGTGCAAAAGTGACATGAAGACCCAGGTCAGAATATAGTGTGGACCAGGCCATGGGAGTCTTGTATTCCATCCTGAACGACTCGCTTATAGGAAAGAACTCTGTGCCCCCAGCTCACATCATGTGACCCAAATAAACCAGCATACACAAGGCTTACCACGTAATAGCTGCTACATCTGGATACCTGCTCTCGCCATTCTGTCTGTTGTTGCTGTTATAATATTTCATTTTTCAAGTTTATATGAACTACGAAGCAGTTTGTTGTCATGGCATTCTTGCTGGAAACATTCATATATTCTTTATGTATTTTTTATCAACTATTCCTCCTAAACATCGGTCTGTCTTACAGGAGTACCATCATAAAAACGAGACATTTAGCCACAGAAGGGAAACAGAAGCCACCATGTATGGCCATTCAGCTCAAGAGACAATACATAAAACGGAGAATGGAGGCTGCAATTTGCCCTTGGCCTCTCGCAGATAAGCAAAGCCTGGGTGTAAAAGGCTGAGTGGAAGGAACAGCATGAAACATACAGACTGTATGATGCAAAAACTAGCGGGAAGTGACTTGTCTTGATTATGTTAACCAGTCCACGAAAGAGATCCCACTTAGGATGAGGAATGGCCAGATTTAATCTGAAGCAATTCCCAACAGAGTTCAAGTACATCAGATAAAATGAGGTCTCCAAAATTAAATAAAGAAGTTGAATACATTCCCGTTTGATATAATCTGAGACTATAAACTGATGCTGCTATATAGATGAGCAATATAAGCATTCAGACAGGCTAATTTTTGAAGGTGGAAAAAAAAGAACCAGGGAAAAAGATGACTCAATAAAATGACTGATAATATCCTGGCTAGGAGGAAGAGTGTCCTCTTTAAAATTATGATGTTATATACGTGAAGGGCGAAGTTATACTTAAAGCAAGAGATGATAACTCAATTTTTTCTGAACCTCCGGCAGCATCTAAAAGGCCGTATTTTCCCCCACAAATGTCTATATTTGACTTTATTTACAATGAGGGAAAAATCTAATGGAGCCAAGCAGAGTCATGCATTTTAAAATTGTTTCAATAAAGAAAAAAAGTTAAGAACTGGTACAAACTCAGAATCAAGATATATTCACACATGTATGTTCTGAAATACAATTTATATAGTAAAGTGAAAAATATTAGCCAATATCAATCTCTAGCTGAGGCAAATAGGGAAAATTAAATGTTAACTGTTTAAAGTATGTGGTAGACGAAAGACTTACAGTTTTGGCAATGGCAAAATCGCTTGTATCAGATAAGTGCTTCTGTGCAGAACATTTATAAACACTAGAATAACTATATATCTACATATACATAACTACACATCTATATATACCTATGCATACATATATGCAACTATTTATATATAGAAATGACTTATAAAATATATAACCTAAAAAGTTATATAATGGGATTGTTACAAACAACAAGGTGGACATATGTAACAACTATTTGAAGGCACTGGCAGTGACCAAAAGCAGGCAAAAATTAGAGAATATTTAACCCCTGAAAGTAGGAAATTGCAGCGAATGAGATCCGTGCTAATACTAATACAGCTTTCCCTTGAGTATTATCCTCAGTCTGAGTGATGCAGGGCATTCAAAGGAAGAGTGGAGGGCATCCAGAGCAGCTGTATGTTTTTTAATTTTATTTATTTATTAGAGAGAGAGAGCACGAGCAGGGGGAGGGACAGAGGGAGGAAGAGAGAGAATCTTAAGCAGGCTCCACACCTAGCACAGAGCCCAACATGGGGCTCAATCTCATGATGCTGAGATCATGACCTGAGCTGAAATCAAGAGTCAGATGCTTAAACCCAGGCACCCTGAGCAGCTGTATTTTTAAGGGGAATATTTTGAAAAGAAGAGATGTACAGAGGCAGTTTACCAAATATGTAGAGAAACTTCCCTAAAATCCTGAACTACCCCCACAAGCTGTGAATATACAGGGGTCCCCCAAGGAGTCTGGGAGAAAGCAACAGGAGGAAGGCAGAACAGCCAAGGGGAAATTTAAGCCCTGCCAATGGAGGGGAGGCAGAGTTTAGAGTCTGACTCCCACCAAGTTAGGAGGCTTGGTCAACCCTTCAGGATTTCTACTGAAATCCCAGAAGGGCTATCCTTGGAAGTAAAAGATGACTCAGGACTAAGAATTCATCCTAAAAGTAAAGGCAAAATTGAAACAGAATCATCCTAACAAAGTATAAAACAAAACTTCCATGAATTCAAGCTAATTATCTAGTAACTTCCATGTCTGCTAGGGGGAAAAAGAAACAAGCTTCAGAAACAGAAGATGGAATCCAGACTCTGCAATGTGTCCAATATCAGTAAACAATTACTAGATATGAGAAAAAAGAGGAACATATACCCGGCAGACAAAAGGCAACTGATATAAATGTGTGCTGAGATGAACTAGTTTTTTGGAATTAGCAGTAGGAAATTAATGCAGCTATTGGAAATATGTACAAGTACCTAACACTGCAAGTGGCAATAAAGAAAGAATAGATGGGAAATCTCAGGAAAGAAATGGCAAGTAAATTTAAAAAAACAAAACAAAACACATGAATATTACAGAACTGTATATGTATAGCATCTGAAATGAAAAAGACACTGGATAAGCTTCACAACCAATTTTAAAGTAGCAGAAGAAAGCGTCACTGTACTTGAAGACAAACCAATAAAAATGATCCAACCTGAGTACCAGAAAGAAATACATAGTGCATAAAAGGAACAGCCTTAGACATCGAGAAGTCCAACAGATGTATAATTAGAGAATCATTAAAAAGAGGAAAAAGAGAATGAGGCAGCAAAGAATTTAAGAAAAATTAGCCAGAAGTCTTCCAAATGTAATGAAAAACATCAGGTTACAAATCTAAGCACCTCAGTGAACCCCAAGCATGAAAACTACAAAAAAACACAAGACCTAAGCACATTATATTGAACCTAAGAAAACTAAAGATACAGAGAAATTCTTAAAAGCAGTCAGGGAAAAAAGCACATTGGATACCCAGAAACAACAGTAAACAAATGGCAGCTGATTTCTAGTCAGAAACAGCGGAAAACAGAAAACAATGGAACATCTTAAAGCGTTGAAAGAAAAAAAGTCAACTCAGAATTCTTTCTCTTGGGAAAAGATCTTTAAAAAATGAAGATGAATAAAGAGATTTTCAGATAAACAGAAGCTGCGAGTTTTTATTGCCAGCAGATTAGCACTATAGAAATTAGTAAATTTCTAGCACTATAGAAATTAGTAAAGAAAATTTTTTGGGTGCCTGGGTGGCTCAGTTGGTTAAGCATCTGCCTTCGGCTCAGGTCATGATCTGAGGGTCCTTGGATCGAGCCCCGCATCGGGTTCCCTACTCGGTGGGGAGCCTGCTTCTCCCTCTCCTTCTGCCCCTCCTGATGCTCATGCTCTCTCTCTCTCTAATAAATAAATAAAATCTTAAAAACAAAAAAAAAAGAAAGAAAAAAATTGTTTTCAGGCAGGGGCACCTGGCCGGCTCAGAGCATGGGACTCTTGATCTCAGGGTTGTGAGTTTGAGCCCCACACTGGGTGTAGAGATTACTTAAAAATAAAATCTTAAAAAAAAAAAAAAGCAAGAAGGAAAAAGAAAAGGCACTCTGAAAAACAGTATTTAAAATAAGAAAAAGAAAGAAGGAAAATTTTTCAGGTGGAAAGACATGAGACCAGATGGAAACTCAGATCTGTAGGAAGAACCAGGAAGAGCACAGGAAATGGTAAAGATGTTGGTAGACATAAAGACTAGTTTTTTCCTCTTAATTTCTTTAAAAGATAACTTCTGGTTAATGCAAAAAATATTAGTTTATATAATGGAGTTTTTTTTTTTAAGATTTTATTTATTTATTTGACAGAGAGAGACACAGCGAGAGAGGGAACACAAGCAGGGGGCAGTGGGAGAGGGAGAAGCAAGCTTCTCATGGAGCCGGGAGTCTGATGTGGGGCTCGATCCCAGGACCCTGGGATCATGACCTGAGCCGAAGGCAGGTGTTTAGTGACTGAGCCACCCAGGCACCCCTATAATGGAGTTTTTAATGATTTTTAGATATGTAACCACTTTTGCCTGATACTAGTAATTAATGCTTTGTCACTTTTTGCCTTGAAGAGTACATCTGAGGTTTTAACAATTTCATTAATTCTTTCAAAGAACTAACTTTTGGATTTATTAGCTTTCTCCATTGTGCATCTTTTAGTGCAATCTTTTGTGCATTTATTTTTATTATTTCTTCCTTTCGTGTGCTTTGTACTTAATTGGATCTATTTTTTTATCTTCTTGGACTAAAAACTTAGAAATTGATGATCACCAGGAAATATTTTTTTTTAATTTACACTATGATTTCTTTGGTCCAGATTATTCAGAAGTATATTTTTAAATTTTTTAAATACTTAGAGCTTTTAAAGCTGTATTGTTGTTATTGATCTCTAATTGAATTTTATTGTGGTAGAGACTTTGTTTGTTTGACCCAGCACCTTCTCTATCTTCTAAATGTACTATCAAGAGAAAGAACAAAATGTGGGGCCATGGGAAACCTTAACCTCTAAGGTAGTGACCTTATTTTTGGGGGAAGATTTCTTAAAGAAATCTCCTTGAGACTATTACAGAGATTAGAGCTCTTCTCTCCAGAAAAACATGTTAATAGGCACATTTACATATTTTGCATACGATTTAGGGACTCACAAATCCTACGAATAAGAACAAAGAACAAAATGGAATTCTCAGCATCTTCACATCAGAACACTATGCTCAAAGGTGATTTATTTTAAGAGTCTTTCAAAATTGAGGTATAATTTAAATCCTGGGTAATGCAAACATCATTTAGGTGTACACTTTAGTCAGTTTTTACAAATGCATACACACATGTAATCCACATCACTATTCAGATAGAAAACATTTCCATCCCCAGAAAATTCCCTCATGTTCCTTCCTGGTCAGTCTCTATACCCCTGGAGGCAACTACTTTTAAAAGGGATTTTGACCATACAATACATCATTAGTTTTTGATGTAGTGATCCACGATTCATTGTTTTCAGATAACACCCAGTGCTCCATGCAGTACGTGCCCTCCTTAATACCCATCACTGGTGACTAACATAACATAACAAGATAAAATTTTAAAAAAAGGGGGGGATTTTGAATGCACATGGATAGTCGCTATATTTCCTAAAGACTGATGTTTCAGAGACAATATCCCTAGAAAGTGGATGCAAAGTAAGAAATGGTCATCTATTAAGAAACAATATAACGGTATCCCAAAAGAGGTGTTCTAAAAAGCTACAGTTAGCCATGTCCTGTGCTCATAAGCCCTAAATCCTTTTCAGAGGTGCCTTGCAGCATTTCAGAAAATAGAAATGTCTCCAGTTAGTCACTGTGTCCCAGTGACCCTCAGGAAAAAAAAAAAAATAGTCCATAGAACCTTTCAATCTCACTCTTTACCTGGTCAGCTTCTGAATCTGAGGGGACCACCAACACCACGTCACCCCTTTGTAAGGTAAGTTCATCAGAATTTGCTGCTTCAAAATCATGCAGTGTTTCCACCTGCAAAAGATTTTTAAAGAATTTACTAATTTTTAAAAAGAAAAGGAAATGTAACATTGAAGTCTTCCAGCCAGATTATCAGCAAGTACTTGTAGGCTTTCCAAGCTAGGTAAAGACAATGATCCCAGCATACCCCAAGGAAGAAGACCTTTAATCATAGAAAGGAAGTCCTGTTTACTTAAAACATCCAATTCTTGAAGACTGATATTAAGACAATTTGGATGTACATTTAGTAATGCAATGCCTCTGCAAGAGTTGACATGTAGTGCATTAATTAAATTCTAATTCGTCATATTTTTGTTAGATATTTTCATTTTATTATCACTGATGTTTTATTATTGTTTGTTTTTAAACTTGAACTAACAATACCTAGCGGAAAATTCCTCTAACCTCACTTCTGTTGAATAATTAATAATTCAAAAAATCAAGGGCACCTGGGTGGCACAGTCGGTTAAGCATCGGACTCTTGATTTTGGCTCTCAGGTCATGATCTCAGGGTAGTGAGATCGAGCCCCAGGCTGGGCTTCACACTGAGGGTGAAGCCTGCTTAAGATTCTCCCTCTCTCTCTGCTGCTCCCCTGACTCCTCCCACCAATAAAATTACAATTAAATAAAATAGTACATATAACATTTTAAAAAATAATGGGAAAAATCATCACTTCCCATATTTTATGGGAATTACTACTTAATTAAACCCTGTGATCAATTTCTTTAAAAACTTCCTACCTTAACCTTTAAACCATGCCAATCTGTTTCTTTTCTTTCTTTCTTTTTTTTTAAATTGAAATATATTTGGAGTGCCTGGCCGGCTCAGTTGGAAGAACATGCGACTCTTGATCTTGGGGTTGTGAGTCTGAGCCCCAAGTTGGGTGTAGAGATTACTTAAATAAATAAATAAAATTTAAAAATCGAAATAAATTTGACATATATTGCGCAAATTTCAAGTGTACAGCTTGCTAATTTGATACATTTGTATACTGTAGTATGATGCCATTATAGCAATACTGAGCACCTCTATCATGTTATGTAATTATCATTTGTTTCTAGTGGCTAGGATAATTAAGATCTAGTCTCTGAGCAAATTTGATGATTATGATACAGTATTGTCTATATTCACCATGCTGTGCATTAGATCTCTAGGGCTTATCTACTACTCACTGTGAGTTTATACCCTTAAACAATACCTGTCCTCTCCCCCTACCCTTTTTCTCCTTTTTTTGAAAGATTTCTTTAAAATTTAATCATAAAAAATTTTGAGAAACAAAAGCAGAAATAATAATATAATGACCCAGGTACTCACCCAACTTGAGCAACTACTCAATCACGGAGGGTTTATTTCTCCATGTCCCTCTCCTCAGCCCTACCCCCTGAGATTAAGTGATTGGCTATTAAAATGTGTATTTTTTTTTTATATAGAATCATAAAATGTCAGAGCTGGAAATGACAATCTTATTCCCCAATTCACAGAGAGAGGAGTGATGTTCCTCAGGCCACACTGCAGTTAGGGAGGGAAGCCGGGGTGCGTCCAGGCAGGCTGGTGTATAATCCAGCCCCAAGCAGATGCATACATGGAGGATTTCAAAGGCCTGGTCTGAGCCCAGGGCTGGAGGGACTCACAGGGCTGGGAGAGAAGCACGGGAGGGCACACAGGGGGTGGGTTGGGGGAGGTTCACCCATTCACTACCAAGGGGCATATCATTTGTCCTGTGGCAAACAATCTTTAACTATGGATTGCAGAAAAATGGAAAGTAATTACTGTCGTTTCTGCTTGCCCAGCAGCCCGGAAATCCTATCATTTTACCCTGTGACGTGGGGAAAGCAGTACCGAGAAAGAATACGTATCGCAAAATGCAAACGGAAACATCCGAAAACCAAAGGTTCCAGCAAAGGGGTCTCAAAGCCAAGGAAGGACGAATGGCCCCCAGATTAAAACAAGACAAAATGACAAGACCTTGTAGAGGAAGCCGGGAGGCACTTCCTGAGCCGCCTCGCTTGCAGATGGAGTGGAGGGCAGTGGCTGGGAGTCCTGGCCCGCCTCGGGCTCTGCGGCCAGCTCTGGCAGCTCACCGGCGGGGCACGGAAGAGCCGCGGCATTGGGGGTCTCCACCGACTCTGCACCTGCCGGGGCTTCGTGGTCTCCCTCCCCTTCATTGTTGGAGGCGGGCTCTATGACGACTGAAGGGATCACTTTCTCCTGGAGGGAGAAAAATGTGGCGGTGCTGAGCAGGTGCTGGGAAGAAAGACTTCTACATCCTCCGGTGCGCTGTGCACTGCTTCCGTCCCTGACGCACCCTCCTTGGCTCCCAAGTTCCCCACCTCCCCCATTCCACAAAATGCCCGCCGCTCCCCAAATCTGGCCCAAACCTTTGGGCCTCAAGCCTTGCAGGACCTTCTTCCTGGTATGGTCGCCTTCCTCACTCTCCTGAGACAGAAACCCTTAGTGGGATTAATTTCTGGATCCTTGAGCAGTCAGGCCGTTTGCAAAGAGTGGGTTTCTGTGGAAATTGGGAAAAGGCATAGGAGACTGCGGCGGGGGGAGGGGGGGAGTTGTGTGGGGGTGGGGAGACCATCCTGAAGGGAAACGTCGTAGGGTCCCAAGAATGGCCTCATTTTTGCCGTGGTCCACTCTTGTCCCACTGAATACTAACACTGTTTGAAGCTGACATTTAACCTCCTGTGACTGCTTTTCTCCCAGAGACCCACGGGACTCCTGACTAGCCTGTAACCGTATTGTTTGTACAGATCTGGCTGGTGTTTGGAGAAAATCCAGGTCTGTTTTGTTTGCTGATTATCACAGAGCCCACACTGCAGTTAGAGCTGGAGGGACGACAGTTCCCACCAACCACTCCTCCGAGGACTCTACACTGGGGGGCGGGGGGGGGAGCAGAACCAAAGGATCAAGGATCTCCTTTTTATTTTGTAACAAAGATGCGAGAGGAGACGAATTTCACCAGCATGTAATGGAAGCCTGGAGATGTTTATTGCCTTTCAGATCAAGTTCTCTATTCCCTCAGATATCAGTGGGCTTAAGCACGTCCATTCTTCAATTTGGAGAAAATAATACACTTTTTCAAGTCTAACAATATAATACAAAAACACTTCTGGCGTTGTGACAAGAAAAATCTCATGAACAAATGGCACATATTTTTGAGTTATTTCTCCAAATACCAATACTACCTGATGTTTTTCTAGTGGGATGAAAGGGAGCATTTATTTTCAAGCTTTGAGTAACCCTGAAGAGATCTGGGGGAAATTTCTTATGAGTAAACTAATCAGGACAAAGGAGAGCATCACATCGAGAGCCCACTTTTGTTACCCTTCTGGAATCCAGACCAAGTGTGAGGTTTAGAAGACCTGCCCTTGTTGTGTGCTCCCCACATCATGGAATATATGGATTTGTGGACTTTGAACAAACACTTCTCTGAAGAAGTGAGGAGCTGGGGCTAGTCCAACGACTTCATGTATGTATTTAATGACCTGTTGGCCTCCTGAACGTGCCAACGGGAATGGACTTTTGCTGAAAGGAGCTCCCTAATGGTGAATTTGGGGCGCTTTGGTGATAATAACAATCCCCAAATACTACTAATAATGATAGGATGTAACTATTAATATTGGGTTCTCCCCGCGTGCCTGCCACTGGGCAAAGCACTGTGGATGGCTATTTCCTCACATAATTGGCACAATCCGCCATCCGGTCACATTCTCTTCCTCACGCTTACATCATCTGTGCTTTATTCTTTTTCTCCATCACTGGGGGCCTGTGTGAACCTCGCAATGCTGACGCTGGGAGAAAGCCCGGCTCAGACTCTTGTTGACAATCTTATATGCAAATACATAAATAATAAATAAAAATATAAAGAACACATATATAATAAATTCAAAATATAAAAAATTCTACAAATGTATGTAATTATATTATCTATGTAGAATTTTATATATTTTAAATTTATTTTATGTCTATATAATTGTATATTGTTTAATAGTATATATGTAATTGTATACTGTATATTGTGTATGTGTACGTATGTATGTATGTGTATATATAAAATTGTATTTGGTGAAGGAGGGTACCACGTAATGGCCACAAACCTGTTCTGCACCCAGAGTTGTTACCAGCACTCACCAATAAACCGCATTCCACCCCGGGCACCGCCTCCCCAGAACTTCCATCTCCCTGGGATACTCACCTGAGGGGCTGCTGCTTCTGGTTCTTCCGGTTGAGATCGGTCACTATCTACAGCCTGTGTGGTATCAGCATCAGTCCTGGCCTCCTCTACACCTGCTCCTTCCCCAGCAGGAAGAGCTGCCTTCTCCGTCTCTGCTTCCTCCACTGGGGCCTCCTCAGCGGCTGACACCACGGTTCCAACAGCCACATCGGCGTCTGTTCCAGGCATGACCTGCAGCCCGGACACCAGACAGGCCATGTCTGTATCTGCACAGGGCCTCAAGAAGAGCCAGCCCCAGCCCTGTCACCTCTGGCCCCTCTGTGGAGGCTCATCGGGTGTGGAAAGCTCTGTGGAAGGTACCGAAGCTCAGGATTCCGGCAGGGCAGAGTCTGCCCTCCGTCCATCAGAACTGACCACTCTTCCCCTGGAATGCAGGGCACAGCATAGGGAACCTAGCCAATGGTACTGTAAGAGCACTGTAGGGTGCCAGATGGTGGCTCCACTTGAGGTGAGCGGAGCATAACATACAGACCTGTGCAATCACTATGTTGTACACAAGAAACTAATGGAACATTACGTGTCAACTCTACTTCAGTTAAAAAAAAAAAGAAGGAAACAAACAAACAAACAAACAAAAAACCACCCATCCTTTCTGGGCTCCCAACGAGGCTACATTCCCCTGCTTTCTTTGCAGTTAGGTTCAGCAAATGGAATTTGAGTGGAAGCGACCTAAGTCATTCAAGAGACATGGCTTTTAAGGGTTGGGTGGTCCCCTTCACAAGCTGTTTCTACTTTGGTTGCCTGAAAGCTGATGGTCACAAAGCCCTTGAAGACATCGGAGTCACAAAATGGAAGGGGCCTTGCCCCAAAACCTGGGTCGTGGAAGAAAGTTCCATAAGAAAGGCATCCTCATCGTGCACATGTCAGAATTTAGAAAAACCGCATTTCAGTATAAACTCTAAAATCTTCATGGGGAAGGTCCCAGAAGCTAAATCACATTCATGAAAAAAAAAATACACTGGGGAGTTTTCTCAATGAGACTTCTTGAGAATGAAGGGCAAATAATTTTTGTCATGAAATATGCATTATAATAAAAACTCAAATCAGATTTTGGGTTAATAGAAGAAGTGAAATAGAAAAAAGTGAGTATTTTCTAAAGTTGCAGGCAGTCCAAAGAAGAGCTGTAAGTAGTGTTTAAAACTTGCACTAATTAAATAAAGAAAGTGCAATCAGAAGTTTTAACTTTAGGCAGATTGGTTGCAGAGCACACATCTAAGACTCTAACATCAGTGTGGCAGGCCTGATTTGAGAAGCTCAAATCAGAAAAGACTGAGGAAGAAGAATATTCGATTGAGCTTATATAATATACCCAGGACATGTATTCCAAACATTGATCTTGCTATCTTGGTGTGATTAGCATGAGCCATTCCTCTTCTCTATTGAATAAATTCTACCCAGTTTGTCCTGTTGGGTTAGGAAAGTTCCAGTGTTGTTGATACTGACTGTCGGACAGAGAGCAGGGGATGGACAATGCCTGCCGAGTGGGCATCAGAAGTGGGAGATCGAGAACGTGAGCCACATACCTACTCTCAAAGCAACACATTTTTAAAAACACCTTCCTTCTGACTCAAATTTGTAGGTAATAAATTAAAGAGAAATGACCTGCCACCAAATACATTTTTCTACAACATAATATTTTACTTTAGGGATGAAAAATAGTGCTAACAGCAATACTATTTGTTATATGGCCAAAGATTATTCATATTCTTAGACCTTTACTTGCCTCTCATAGAAATTTGGCTCATGCAGAATGTGCAATGATCCAAAATGTAGTCACACCCATGACGTACCGTTTCTTTTTCTTTTCTTTCCACTCTGTCTTTAAGTTACTGGGTTCAGAAAAGTAATTGTTTATGTGAATTGTAATATATTCATTTAAAGCAAATTTAAATGCTAACAATTATTGAAGTGGGGATTCATATTTTGGTGAATGACTGACAATCCCCCTAATAGAAAGTTTAAAAATTTAAGAGAATTACATCTCTTGTTTTAAATAAACATGGTCTTTGTATGGATGTACCGTTGATATTGTCAAGAGAGTAATAGTGAGAACATAAATTAGCAGGGCATCTTCATTCCAAGAAGAGCAGTGAACAATTGCTCATAGCTTTATTGTTGAAGAAATCAACAGGGTTTCTCCAGGACCCTAAGGATTACCTAGCAAAGTTCTTCCACATCAGAACTATACATAAAGACAACGTGCATACAATGGACTTTCAGGCTCAAATGTAGAAAGCAAGTTGTGTTATCAGAATTCCAAGTTATTTATGCTTTCCATCTGCTTGGAAAATCACACCATGGAGTGAATATCCCCCTGGTTTCAAGAGCATCAAACCAGATGGACTATATATCATGCAGATGGTATGGGCAAACAGAACAGTACACACCACCACACACACATAACACACATACACATAGTTACAGGAAAGCAACCACTCTGTGGTTTAATAGGCTACTCCTCCAAGTGATTATGCATAAATCCTTCCATACATATATGTGCCAAGCACATACTATTAGTGATTGAATTTTACTCTCAACTGAATTGATATATGTCCAGAAAAGAATATATTTCTGTGAAGTATTAATGGTGTTGCCAAAAATAATTTAACTCTCTCCATACAAATAGAATGTTAATGATGAGTTCCTGATTTATCTCTAGCACTCTAAGTAGCTATGAATTTGATTGCATCCGATTTTACTACTGCAAGATGTACCTTGCAATATGTCATCACCTTGCCTTTGCTAAGTAAGTTAAACAGGCGTCTTTGGCTGGTTGTGATTTAGACCAGACAGTGCGGCTGCTGTGATGCCGGCCACCAGCAGGGGGAGGCCAAAGGCTCTGTCTGTCCACACTCTGATGTTTGCTGAACTCAAAAAGCACAAATAGCCCAGCTTCTACCTGTCAGCAATCTACCTGACCTCTGTGGCATACACAAAAAGGGATGAAAGGATGATGGCCAATAAATATCACCAAAAGATTGAAATTAACAATGCTAGTAAAAGCGAGGCACCAAGGAAACTGGCACTTTGACTACAGAGCGGAATAAACCAAACATTTTGAATGACCTACTTGGAAAAGGGAAGAAATTAACATCCCTCCCTTCTCTGAGTCCATTAGCAATGAATTCCTATTTCTCTAGCCAAATACAACACTTTGATTTTACAGATCTTTAAGAAGGTTACAGAAACAGAGAAGGACTGTCTGCTACCTATACTCCCTATCTTTTTGCCTCCAGAATTGCTCTGAAAATCAGGGGTCCCCAATCCTCCCTTTATGCCTGGAATCTGTTGCACATTTTCTGCTCTTTACCAAAATATTTCCAATGCATATTTACCGACTGCAATAACGGAACCACATAAAAATACAATGGAAAACAGGACTCCCATTTGCTCGGTTTAAGTGTTAGCTCCAAATCGAAAAGAGTTTCAGCAACAGAGTTATCCCTCTTTTTGTTAATTTTTTTTATGGAGTCCAATTTGTTAGCTATTTATAGATTGAGAAACGGAAAACATTCTCTGGACTCTGCTTGCTACCCGAGATGTTACACCTGCTAGGAAAAACCACAATGATTCATGACTTCTTTTTTTTTTTTAAGTGTCATCCAGGGAGACCAGACGAATGAAACCACGGAAAGTATTTCAAGCCTTTGATGTTCAATTTTTCTTGTTCCTCCAAATGTTAAAGGAAACACCATTATCTTATCCTCTGCCCAGACTGTACTGTCTGTTGGCCAAATATATTTTTGCGGGGAGGGGGGGAGACATATAATGCAGAGAGACATTAAAAAGTTCTCCCTGCCCTCAGGCACGTTTACTGTATCCACAAAGCCCATGAGGCACAGACACCCTATTGCAATTTGCACGTGCATCACACAAACCACAAGGACCAGCATGGGACGTCTTTGAGAAGGTGAATGGCTCTCGCTTTATCACACCACACAGATCTTACTGCTTTCTTCAACTTCTGCCTCAACAAACTCCTTGATGGAAAGCGATGTGGTCATGGCATTCATGTCAGCGTCCTCCCAAACACCTCTTAGCAAAATTTCTGGAGGTGGGATAAAATGAATGCATGCAACAATGGCCTGTGTATCCTGCAAAGTAGGGAGACGCAACAGGATGACAGAGAAGAGCCAAGACCTCCAGGGATGGCGCCGTGAAGGCAGGTCAACAGGGACCCAGACTCCAGATGAGCAGTGATTGGCTACGTAAGAATTTGTGATCTCTGGGCTTTGTGTAATTTATGGATTCATTTTATTTACTGTTTGTTTCCTTGGCAATGTGGGCTCTGAGCAATGCCTGAGAAGCCACCTGCCAGTAAATGGTCTGGGTGAGGACAACCCTGGTATAAAATTCCATATGTATCTATCGGCTAGGTTATTTCAACTGAAATTCCTCTGATTAAAAAAAATAATGGAGACCATGGGTTTAAAGATAATAAAAGAAGTAACATTTATTTATTTTCAATCATTTTCTGGACCTAGCGGGGCTTTATTGTCTGTTTTTATATAACACAGGGATCTTGTTTCTTAGAAAAATTATATCAATGGCCTATATAATTTGTACTTTATTGTGTTTTCTATTTGACAACTTATTTATATCATTTTTGTCATTGAACACTAGTTGGTTTCTAGCTTTTAAATGTTATAATACTCTGAAGGGAGATCTTGGTTTGTAACCATATTAATAGCAATTGGTTAGACTGTACATTTAAATACTAAACACTAATCCTTTTATTCATTTATGATGTTTCTATTAAGGACTGTTTTTGAGTTTTTGCCCAGCATTTTATTATAACAGTCAATACAGAGAAAATAAAAAGAACCAGGCAGTGAACATCCAAATACCTACCATCTGGGACCTTCAATTGACATGTTACATTTGCCTTATTCTTTCCATCCATGATGACTTTGAGTCATCTTTCGGTCTATCACAATACATCTTCATAAAATGTTTTTCAGGAATTCTCTGGTGATTCTATAGCCCTTCTATATTTGATAATATCTCTCTGCTGCTTTCACATGTGACCAAGTACACTGTCTTGGGGTAAAACGGCTACAATATGATTTTTTGTGTGTTCAAAGTTGGCCAAGTGTTCCAAGAGCTCCTGAGCTTTAGCCCAGGGGAGGGCGTGTCTGAGGTCCGCCTGATTGTTCTTTGCTAGCGTGTTC